ACAAACAAAAGGTGTATTGAAGCAGCAGGCGCAGTTGAGTTCTTGGCCGCAATTGTAATCAATTCCAATTCCATGGAAGAATCATCTGAAGATGGGGTTAACTCCACTCGACCAACAGACGAGGTCTTAAGCATCCTCTACAATCTACAACTATCAGAAGCCGGTCTTCAGAATCTTCTTGGAAAAAATAGTGATTTTGTTGAGTGCTTAACCCAATTCATGCAACGTGGGACATATGAGTCCCGAGCATACGGGGCTTTATTGTTAAAATCACTGATGGAAGTAGCAGATCCGATGCAACTTATTGGATTGAAACCTCAGCTCTTCATTGAAGCGATCCAAATCTTGCAAGATCAGATATCCTACCAGGCCTCAAAAGCTATACTGCAGCTCCTGATAAATGTTTGTCCATGGGGGAGAAACAGGGTGAAAGCAGTTGAAGCAGGAGGAGTACCAATCTTGATAGATCTCCTTCTCAATTCTACAGAGAAGAGAGCATGTGAGATGATACTGACAGTGCTGGAGATGATGTGTGGCTGTGCCGAAGGGAGGGCGAAGCTTTTGGGGCATGCGGCAGGGCTTGCAGTTGTTTCGAAGAAAATTCTTAGGGTTTCCCAGGTGGCAAGTGAGAGAGCAGTGAGGATTCTGCTAGCGGTGTCGAAGTTCTGCGCCACACCCAGCGTTCTTCAGGAGATGCTGCAGTTAGGTGTGGTGTCAAAGCTGTGCTTGGTGCTTCAAGTGGACTGCAGCAGCAAAATAAAAGAGAGGGCCACAGAGGTTCTTAAGTTGCACGCTCGAGCATGGAAGAATTCTCCCTGCATACCTACGAATCTGCTCTCTTCATATCCTGCTTGAGAAAAGGATGAAGGAGACATAAAGAAATTGATTCGTTACTTGGGAATTTCTTAGAATAGACATTTTTTGTTTGGTGTACGTAATTGTTTAGTGTAAAATCAGGTTAGATAGGAGACAAATATACATGGGCAAAAAATTAGCCACAAATATAGTTAAATGCAGATGAGATTTAATTCCACTGGGGGAAATTGATCAATTAATTTCTTACACAGTTTAGTTCTCATCAGTCAGTTGCCAAATCGTTAGGTTCACACTTGACTCTCCTCTCCAAATTGCCTAAATTAGTAAAATCCTTTTCTAAAATTTCCTTAATGCTAATGAGGCCTTTGGAGTTGTGAAGGGATTGGGACGCTAAAAACTTTGAAGTTATAGGGATGAATCTTCATTTTTGCGAGTTTAGGTCCAGTTTGTATTTTGTTATTGTTACTTTCTGAGTGTTGGTTTGCATTGTATACATACATATACTGTAGCATATGTTTCACATAAAAAAATCCGTTGTAAAATTAAAATTTCTCTTTAAGTTTGTGGATCGATGGAATAAATTTTAAGATAGATACTAGATTTCTAAAGATTGGTATATGTATAATCTAACCAAACCAAATTTAAAGAGATAAAAAAATTTAATATATATTTTCCTTACACTTGTAAATTGATTGATAACATATGTCACACCTCATCAATATATATACATAATAAGGCTTAATTTGATTATATTGACATGTAATTACAGCTGTAATTTTTTTTTGTTTCTTTATCATCTCAAAAAAATATTTAACATATGTCATATATTTAATATTTACTTTTATTAATATTTTATATATATTTAATAAAATAAAATACAAAAAAAAAAAAAACAAAAGATAAATCACTAAAAAACATTCTCAAATGAACCGCAAATTAAGTCTATCTTTTCATTCTAATTAGTTATATCAACTCTTGTAGATAAAATTAAAGGAACCGTATATTGATTTTCATCCAATGACTATGTCCTTAGTATTAAAGCTTAAATTTAGTAAACATAGGAAAATAATATAAGGGACCTAGCTCGTGGCACTACTGATAGAATATTGACTAGTTGAGCATGATGATGAATGCAACGTGTTTGGCACCTTTTGACTTCTTTTTTGGCCTTTGCTATCGGTAGGTGCTAGAGAGACTATGTATATATAGTACTGTTGAGGATTTGAGGGGGCATATTCATGAAGTCTGGTCCCCCATGCTCAGCAAAAGTTGGCAGCCGGCGGGCGCGAGCCGACTTTTGAAAACCAACCACCGTCCACCATCGGCCGTGACCCTGGACTCTGGGAATCAACTCTAGCTCTTCTTTTTTAATTTTATTCTTTTAATTTTTAACTTGTTTAATACGGCGGCTGTGGTTATCAATCATTAACCTACCACCGGTGGTAAATGCGGACCCTTAATTAAATACTAGTAAACTGAAAAGGATTACTA